CTTCACGGTGCTGGTCGCCGCTTGCGAAGCCCGGGTGGCCGCTTCTCCCAGTGGCCTTGCCCCTCCTGTGAGATCTGGAAGAGGAGCTCCCCCGGGGCCCTGCTTTTAGGGGACGCGACCCCGGGGTCAGGGCCAGGGTCACCTTCTCGGGAAGAGCTCGGCTTTGGCGAAGCGCTGCGCCTGGCTCTCCAGCGGGCTTTGGGGCCTCCTGTGGGGTGACTGGGTAGAAGTGTTACAAGTGTTCCTCAGCACTGGGAAATTTCACTGTTACATTGCCACGTAGTAACAGCAGTAAACAAAGAAAGCCCCGTGCAGGGTGTGAAAGGGGTGTTGGATGGCTTTGCCGGGTTCTCCTTGGGGCAGAGAGGAAGCCCGTCTCGGGAGCCCGGGGTCTGTTGGGCTGGCGATTTTTCAGCCACAAGTGAGGCTGGGACGGGTAGGCTGCGGAGGGCGCCCTGACCCAGGATCAGGAGGCACAGCTGGCATTGCTGCCATCCCACCACCTCTATGCCCCTTGCACCCAACAGAGCAGACCGAGGGGAGGGGAGGGGAGGGGCCACAGTTGCCCTGGGAAGAAGCCACACTCACTTGGAAGCAGGTCATAGCTCAGCTGGCGGTGGAGCCTGTCTTCCAGGATGAGGAGGAGGGTCAGCTGTTAGGGAGGCACAGACCGGCATGAAATGTGCCCCTCTTGGGCAGATGAAGAAAAGCCCGGTACTTCCAGGATCTACTCATCAAACTGCTAAGGAAGCATTCTTGGGAAAATGAATATACGCTGGAGAAGTAGTCCTTGTTGTTTTGAGCACAATTTCAAAAATAAGCCAGCTTCTTAAAATGATTTTCGTCTCACCCGAGAGGGTACTAGGAGCTGTGTGGCCCCAGACCCAAAGGCCCTCCAGCCCAGCATTTACCCTGCCACAGACCCTCCCCAAAGCTGAGCTTGGTCCTGGGGGGACAGCCCCAGACCTCCCTGCCCTCAGCTCATCTGAACGTGAGGCGGGGACCACCCTCCCTATCCTTAGCTGTTCACAGCCCCCACCCCCCGCTGGCAACTTGCAGCCAACTGGCCCAAACGGCACCTTAAATGCAGGCCGCTCCCAGGGATGCCTGGCCTGGTCCTCCTCTGCCAGCAGAGCCCACAAATTCTGAGCCATACGTACGTGCCACTGCTGCTGTTCCTCCTGCCACTCCATGTTGCACTGCATTTGCACCACCTGGTGGAGGCAGAGGCAGCCTTCAGCAGGAGGACCACCAACACAGCACCTTGCCCCAGCCACGGCCCCGATACACCAGCAGAGGCTCTGCTGGTAGAGGGTGCCAAAAGCTGCCCCTCTTGGGGCTCTCCTCCCTGGCCCAGCATGGAAGCATCTCTCTTGCCTGAAAGCCAGTTCCCAACAGGCACCCCAGCTCCCAACAACCCCCCCACACCCCACTGCAACCGAAGTTTTTTGGGCTGTGTCACAGGCATCCCCGCTAAACCCTGCCGGGAGATGTGCCCAGGCATCTTAGTCTTTTTTTCCAGGGAAATGGGCATATACTACTGGGTGTTGCCTGTAACCCTTTTGTAATGGTGCCTGGGGCCATGTGAGGCATTCTTGCAGGTGACTGGGGGGGGGGGGACTTTCCCCCCGGTGCCTGTTTCTTGTTGAGCCCCCACCCCATCGCCATGACACACCAGAAGCCTCCCCCCAGGGCTCTGTGCCTGCACCCGTGCTGCCCTTCCTGGAGATGGTCTGCCGCCACCTCCTCCCTTACACCATGGGGAAACAGACTGAAGTGGGGCAAAGGGTGGAAGAGAAGGGAGTCGCACAGATGCCTCCTGTAGGGAAGGGGCGTGGCAGATGCGCTTGCTGAGGTTGGCATGCTGGGCCAAGCCCCAGGGGCAAGGGGGGGGGGGGGGACTTTCCCTCCCGTGCCTGCTTAGTGTTGAGCCCCCACCCCATCGCCATGACACACCAGAAGCCTCCCCCCAGGGCTCTGTGCCTGCACCCGTGCTGCCCTTCCTGGAGATGGTCTGCCGCCACCTCCTCCCTTACACCATGGGGAAACAGACTGAAGTGGGGCAAAGGGTGGAAGAGAAGGGAGTCGCACAGATGCCTCCTGTAGGGAAGGGGCGTGGCAGATGCGCTTGCTGAGGTTGGCATGCTGGGCCAAGCCCAAGTGGCAGAGGGGGTTGTGTGAATCTGGCCTGGCCACTCTAGTTTGCAAACCAGAGTTTTATGGCCACCTTTACTTTGGTACTGGATGTCTATTCCCTCCTGGCAATTTACTTGTGTACACCAGTGGCGGCTGTTCCTGGATCACAGGGACCTACCTGCAGTCACTCACACCTTAGTCACCTCCTGGTTGGATTCTTGCAATCCCCTCTACGTGGGGCTGGCCTTGGAGACCATCCAGAAACGTCAGTTGGTCCAGAATGCAGCAGTCCGGTAGCGATGAGCATGTCTCATGACCCCCAGGTACCCTCTCCCCTGCAAGCTGCACCAGCTCCCTCTAGGCTTCCAGGTGCCATTCAAGGTACTGCTTATCCCCTATCAAACCCTGCAAAGCCCAGGACCCGGTGAAGGGTCCTCCTCTCAAACGCCATCACGTGTGCCTTCCTGGGGGGGCTCCTGCCCTTTGGAAGGATCCTTCTCCCCACCCACCAGATACAGGGTCAGCCCACAGGCCTTTAGAAAGGCCGTTAAACGCTGGCTCTTCCCCCGGCACTTGGGTCAGGATGAGTAGAGTTCCTAGTCGGTGAGATACAGTACATTTTGGTCCTAATCCCCATTTCATTCAGCAGCACGTGGTTGGGTGAATTTTGTTTTTGTTTTGTATTTTTGCTTGATGATTTTGTATGCTAACCAGTCACATTGTTTGAGTTGAGTGGCCATATAAGTGTACTAAATAAATAAACAGAGTACAGAGGCAGCTAACTATGATCAGTGTGTGCGACTCCAGGGGTTGGCCTTGCGCAACATTCCGCCATCCCCCAAAGCCGTTGCTTAGCCACACTGTGGGCTGTTTCCTTTCAGGCTGCCCCCCGAAACCTCTGTGCTTGGCATGGGAGGGCCTGTGCACACAACCCAGGCAGCCCCCTCCTTTGCCTCCAGACAGCCCCTGTGCCGGTTCTCCTGAGAAGCAAATGCCCAGTGGTGGCACTGACCCACAGAGGCCACCTCACCTTCCGCGTCTCTACATCAAAAGGCTCCGGTGTGGGGGTTTGGACTTTCTGGGGGTCTTCCAGGGGCTGGGAACTGGAGCGCGGCAGTGTGTGGGGCCGGATGGTGGCAAAGTTCATCAAAGGGTAAATGCCATTCCTGGCAGAGAGAGTGAGAGAGGTCAGGGAATGTGGGTACTTGGTTGGGCTACAAGCCTGAAGGCCTGGGAAAGGGGTCACAGCAAAGAAAGAGAAGTTCTAGGACTCAGCCAAATGGCTCCTCTACTCCATAGGCCAACCCCTCCCCTCCCGTGCTCCCCCAGCAATGCTTGTTGGATGGCTGCAGAGGGAGGGCAGGGGGGAATCAGCATGAGAAGCAAAAGGCTCACCAAGAGATCTGTGCTAGCAATAGATGGAGAAACTCACCTGACATCCTCCAAGAATTTGTCCAATTCCAGGAAAGAGACCTCTGAATATCTGGAGGGCAAATTTAGGCTAGTTGACTGTGGCAACTGCAGCCATGCAACACGGCCAAAAGGGTTCAAGGCGCCATGGCTGCCAGCACCCACCCAATGCCATGGCCAGAGACAGACGCACCAAGGACATCGCCTCCCACTTTGGCTGCCTTTAGGCTCTCGCACCGCAGGGGTGGGGAGGGCGAGGGAGGCAGCCTTGGGTTGGGCGGGGAGAACCCCTGCCTGGGACAACCCAAGTCAGCTGAGAATCCCGGGCGGCAGCAGCAGAGGGCTTGCCTTTACAGCAGGCAGATGGGCATCCTCCATGCTGCAAGTGGCCCGGCACGGTTTTCCCACTCCTGCCCCTGCTGGTCTTCCTGAGGGAGATTCACCTGCCCAGACCCACCTCCACTGCACAGGCAGCCGCCCTGCCCGCTGAATCTCTGCCATCACTTCACTGAGATCCAGCTCCTTGGTTTTCTCCTCCACCACGTTCTCAGGCCACAAGTCTGCAAGACAGACAGAACTGGAGCTCCAGGCCAGGAACAGCTGGCCGCCTCCCCAAAGCTACCGCTTCCCGCTCTGCTCCAGTGCCTCCAGCGCCCCTCGCTGAACTCACACTGGTGGGTGATGAAGCAGTGGGCAGCCAGAAGCTTCAGGGAGTGGACCTCAAAAAGGACCCGGTGGAACAGCAGGTTGTGAGCCGTTGGCCGCTTGTCTGGATTCGGGAGGAGGCACCCCAGGATGAATTCCTGGGAGGAGAGAGAGATGGTCACAGAGAGAAAAGCCTCTCTTCCCACCATGCCAGCTCAGCGCCGGACAGGAGTGGTTGAGGGTCGAGCATGGGAAGTGGCAACTCACACAAAACAGGCAGTGGAATATTTATTGGGTACTCATCCTGGCAAAGACCAGCCCTGCTGCTGCCACTGCCGCCACCACTGCGACCTCTGGAGCGTCCAGAGGACCAGACTCTTCCCGGTCACTAATTCTGAGAGGACAGCCAGGTGGAGCTGGCTGCCCAAGCAGGACCCTTCCAATTACACATAATGATCTTGATCAGCTTTCGTGTGTCTGGTGAAAACCAACTTGCAAACTTTTGAGAGAAGCTGAATGTAGAACTGCTGCACAGAATTGTTCAACGAATAGGAAATTCTGCCAGCAGACACTCTGAGGCGCCGCTGCGGCAGATGGAGAGGCCCCCTTCCCGCGTTAAGCAGCCCTCCGTGGCAGAGGGGGCCCCGTGGAGTTCCCAGGATCAGGAGGCGCAGCCCTCCGGAGATAGAGACTGCTGACCCTCCCTGGCTGCGTTGAAACATGCGGAACCCGGTTCTTGAATGACCCCATTTTAGGGGTCAGCAGAATGGGCCTCACCAAGCAGAGGTGAGCGCAAATACAGCTGTGAGGTTTTTCACTGAGCTGGTTGAGTCTGTTGTGTAAACACAGCAAGTGAGGAAGACTATGGGTCTATAATACACCCGCCCCCATCAGTTTCCATCCTGTTTTTCCTCAGCCCCCACACCTCAATTATTTTTCATTGATCACTTAACTATAGTTACTGATGGGTTTCTTACTTAAGGACCTTCAGTTCCCTGCAGCCTTGGAGATCTAACCCTGGTGAGGCTGCCTTGGGCTAGATGAACCAAGAGTTTGAGCTTCTGGGGCCTGCTTGAGGGGCAGACCCCAATTATGTCAAGAGACGTCATCCCCGGGTTACCCTGAGGCTATCCAGTCTAGCCCCTCCTCAGTGCAGGAACCCGACTGCAAGCATTCCTGTCAGATGGCTCTGCTGCCTCTGGACACATCTGCCTCCCAGGAACATTCACTGCCCTGTCCAACTGCTTCTGCTCTCAGGAAGTTTTTTAAAACATTTGATTGGAATCTACCTTCCATTTGTTTGGATCCCATTCTGTGGAAGGAGGGAGAAGAGTTCTTGATCGTCTGTAAGTCACCCATTCCATTCTGAAGAGTCCTGTCATACTCCCACGCCCACCATCCCTTCTCAAGGCTCAGCCTTCCCATCCCCTTCAGTTTCTCTTCCTAGTCTTAGTTTCTATTCCTAATCATCCTTCTCTGAACCTGCTCCAATTTTTCTGAGTCCCTCTCTGGGCGTGCTGCCCACCACCAAACTCCGTTCTCAAGGTGGGTCTTGTCAAAGTAGAAGGAAGTGGAACCATTTGTTCCTGACATTTGGTAACTCTATTTCCATTGAGGCCACCTAAAATTGTATTTGCCTTTCTTGCAACCGCATCACCTCCCACCCGATTCTCATCCTCTGTGTCAAGAACTCTCCCAAGATCATTTATCCAGTACCTCCGCCCTGCCCTTCTATCCCTGTACATTTAACTGACTTTTCCTAAGGGAAGAACCCTGCATTTGTTAAATTTCGTTCTGTCACTTTCAGCTCCCCATCAAGATTATTTTGAACTTCATTTCTGTTTTCTAGGGCATTAGCTATCTCACCCGATTTTGTGTGATCTACAGATTCTATTCAAAAGAGACAAAAGACCAGAAGATCACCTCACCAGCATTCAATCACCAACAATCATCTCCAGCAATCATCACCCAGATAAGCAAAGGTCACTACCAGGCACACAATCCAGCAGCAAACAGATGCCAA